CTCACTGTTTTATTCCCCTTCTTTCCCCTCCTCACCTTTATCCTAATTCCTTCCCTCGTTACTTTTAGTTTAACATCTCCATCCTGAGCCCCCAGACTCATCCTGCTCACTACACTTCAAGGAAAACCGGGAGTCGTAACTAACTGATGTAATATGGATAACATCCAGTTGGAATATGGATTTCGAATTATGGAATATGTATTATATAATTTTTAGTTTGGCACCAGCATTGTGGGTAGTGATGTATGACATTGTCAGTACCTGAATAATTGAATTGTGTTCCATGACTTACGGGTTATGACACGAGGCTGAGTGAATCGTGTGCAGGGATTTCTGGGTTATGATATGGTGTAGAATACTTTGACATTTCGTTAAGTATTGCTCGATTGCTAGCGCACTTGGCTCATACAGTGAGGTTCGTGGTTCGATTCACGGTACAGGGGTAAACTTTAAGGCGCGTTTCCTTAAGACACCTTCTGCCTCTGTTCACTTAGCAGTAAGATAGGTACCTGGGTGTTAGTCGACTGGTGTGGGTCGCATCCTGGGGACAAAATTAAACTAATTTCCCTGAAATGCTCTGAATAACAAGCGGCTTTCTATATAGTATGTCATTGATGTCAGCCTGGCGGCCTGGTCACAGACCGGGCCTTGGGGGCGTTGACCCCCCGGAACTCTCTCCAGGTAAACTCCAGGTATGGTATGTTTATGTTGTATCATTCATTCGTGGAAATAAAAATTATTATTGATAGTATTGTTTTGTACCCATCTTTCTCTTACATTCAGATCACTAAACAGGATGGGGGTTGAACCCATGGCTAGCGAGTCCTGAAGCTTGGAGACCAGTGGTTAACACACTGGCCTGCGAGTTTCAAGACTCGCCTGTCATAGATTCCAGCTCCATCCCCTCTGTGATTTATTTAAAACCGTGTTAGCTTAACATGTTTATTATACACCCAGTACCCATCCTGTGGGAGGTAGTCAAAAGATAACAGAGGCAGATAATGGACTCCAGGATCTTGTTAAGATTTCGCGAGTTTTTCTGTTGCCAAGTGTTAAGAGATGCATGATTTTTCCTGTCCATAATTTGTCCATAATTAGTATCGCATTTACTTAGTCTGCTTTCGTAATGTGAAGTCCAGGATCTTTCCTGAATTCACGGTATAAATTAACAAATCTTCGATGACAATTGTTTTCCCGAGGTCTGAGCTCTGTTCACACCTTACATATTGTCCTCAAAGATTTGATAAGTTATACCATGAATTAAGGAAAGATCCTGGACTTCACATTACGAAAGCAGACTAAGTAAATGCGATAGTAATTATGGACGAAGTAGATTATAAGGGAAAAATAACAGAAGACAGGGAAACTGACGTGCCCCTTAAGCGACGCTCAAAGAAGAAAGCTTGGAAAAGCACCGACCAAACGCGTGCAAGTGAAGATAAGGACTTAACCGAAGCTGTTACACAGCCACATCAGGAAGACTAAGTCAGTGATAAGCCAAAATAAGGATGAAAGAATAACATCAATGTGAAGGATCTGATACATGACTGACAAACACTGAAGAAATGTTAGTTGTTGCTGATGTGTCTTATGTCTTATTCTTCTCTTTGTTATTCTTCATCTTTCTTAGTATTCTCTTTCTTATTTTCTCTGTTTCTTTCTTATTCTTCTCTTTCTTCTAACTCGTGATAAAGCGCTAAACCCATTTGGGCCATACATTGTCTGGGGAATGGGAGGTAAACGGGTTTGATTCAATGAAGGAGAGTAGCTGCTGTGTCTTTGGTCAAGACAATGTTGTGTAGGTCACGGGACACACCAAGACAATGCTGTGTAGGTCACGGGACTCACCAAGACAGTGTTGTGTAGATCACGGGACACACCAAGACAATGTTGTGTAGGTCACGGGACACACCAAGACAATGTTGTGTAGATCACGGGACACACCAAGACAGTGTTGTGTAGATCACGGGACACACCAAGACAGTGTTGTGTAGATCACGGGACACACCAAGACAGTGTTGTGTAGGTCACGGGACTCACCAAGACAGTGTTGTGTAGATCACGGGACACACCAAGACAGTGTTGTGTAGATCACGGGACACACCAAGACAGTGTTGTGTAGATCACGGGACACACCAAGACAGTGTTGTGTAGATCACGGGACACACCAAGACAATGTTGTGTAGGTCACGGGACTCACCAAGACAGTGTTGTGTAGATCACGGGACACACCATGACAGTGTTGTGTAGATCACGGGACACACCAAGACAGTGTCGTGTAGGTCGCGAGAGAGCTGCGCCCTCCACAGCGCTACACGATAATTCCACCAGAGGACAGGAAGACAAACTGATGATGACTAATTCTCATCTCTGCCTTCAAGATACCCGTGTGGGTAGCAGCCCCGGCAGACATCTGTCAACAGTGTAATACTTGTGTAATGTATGTACTATATTAGTGACATTTATTGGCAGGTTTCCTAAATGTTACTTTAAAGTATACGAGCCTGGCCCATGGCCGGGCTCCAAGAGCAGTGAAACTCTCGAAACTCTTCAAAGGTATATACCCTATGCTGTTGTGTATAACATTTTCTAGTATAGAATCAGCCTAGAGCATGACAAGTCTGCTGTGTATGTAACTGTCTGTATGTCGGAACTCCATACATTAGCGTCACCGAGCTGTCAGCATATTTCAAAACGCTAACAGTGATGCCACAGATCTTTTAAATGCTGTTACGTCAGCAGAGTTTGAACCTTGCTACGATGCTGCCCCGTCGTGAGGCTGGGTCGCGTGAGGACGTACTCTAGCAGTCAGTCTCGTAACCTCAAGGCAGTCATCACATCAGTTTGCAGGCTGGCCGCCTTACCATGTATATACTCAATATACTAGTATAACAGCCTCAGTAACTTATTCACCATCACTCCACTTATTCACCATTACAACACAGGCTCCCTGGCCAAGCCCTGAGTCAAGTGACTACCACCTACCCTCACCTTGGAGGGGAACGGCATGATTTTTAGCAGTACTTTTGTTATCAGTTGCTTAATGGAGGTCGCAATTGACGCTGATTATTTTGGTGTGATATTTGCGTTGACTGTTTTTTAGTTGCTTTTATTGTTTTTTACTTTCATACTTGTGTGTGTGTGTGTGTGTGTGTGTGTGTGTGTGTGTGTGTGTGTGTGTGTGTGTGTGTGTGTGTGTACTCACCTATTTGTAGTTGCAGGGGTCGATTAGTAGCTCTTGGCTCTGCCTCTTCTCTGGTTGTTACTAGGTCCTCTCTCTCCTTGCTCCAAGAAGTTTAACGTACCTCTTCGTGTGTGTGTGTGTGTGTGTGTGTGTGTATGTGTGTGTGCGTGTGTGTGTGTGTGTGTGTGTGTGTGTGCGTGTGTGTGCGTGTGTGTGTGTGTGCGCGTGTGTGTGTGCGTGTGTGTGTGTGCGTGTGTTTGAAACCTATAAGATCAAAGTGCTCAGTAAATTTCACTACTATTACGACTATTATTACTACTACTACTACTACTACTATTGTCATCACGTGAAGAAAACGCTTAACGACGTTGCACTTGGTGTGGTGCTTAATAGAGCCCCACACTGTGTGAGTCAAGGTGGATGGTGCTTAATAGAGCCCCACACTGTGTGAGTCAAGGTGGATGGTGCTTAATAGAGCCCCACACTTGTCGCCATAATATAGTGTCCTGCGGCTATGTATGAATTAACATATTATTATATGTTAATTATATGTTATAGGTTATGTGACGCATTAGATTATAGGTAATATCACAAATAAGTAATCTGGCTATACCTAGATGATGATAGGTAATCTGGCTGTAGATGATAGGTGATCTAATACATTAATTAGCAATATTACCCATTAAATAATACATATAGTCTCGCTAATTAGTAAAACAGTTTTTCTTAGTATCAATAAGCGGAATAAATTGCCACATTTTAAACGGGGGTAAAAAAAATGAGCCCTGAAAACCTACTGGGACATATATACATATAGGTAGGTTCCCTCAGTGAAGGTTCCTAGATGCAGGTAAGCGGCTTCTGATCCCTGACAGGGCCCTTACATGGAACCTGAATGCTTGTCATTCCCCCAGACGCTGTATAACCCCCACGGATTTTCAGCTTCCTTATTAATATATCGTAATACAAATATGGTGGAAGTGTTAGAAAGGACTGCAACCGCTTGAAACTTTAGCGCATTGTTTGCGGAAATTATACAGTGAGGTCAGGATACAATGCCAGCACGCAGTTTAACCCAACAATAAATATTGACAACTGGCAACTGGTGCGAGTCATGGATATTCAGGGTCGTGGGAACTAGGCGAGTACAAATAGGCTGTCCCATGCTTGTTGGACGGAGGATCGAGTCTCCACCACTGCTGGGGATGAATGACCCACATGGGCTCAGCGTTTGGCCTGATGGTGATAATCCAGGGGACGTTGTGGTGTTCCTGTGACAGTCTTTCAAGACACGTCAACACCACTGGGTCAGGCCAGTGACTGGTAATATTAGTATTAACCTCCACTAGGTATAGGCTGACTCCTTAACAAAGTTAGAGATATCGTCACGCATTTCAGCAAGGGTTCATGAGGTACGAGATAAGATGAGAAGGAACACAGAGCGAAGTCATTATTTTCATTAAACATAAGTGACTACATCAACAGTTTGCTGCTGAGCCTATTTTAAAGCAGAGGTAACTATTGTCCCCCCCCCCGTGTAGCTATATTCCATCACACAGTTCTGGTATCGTACGAGGTGCAGACGTGTCAGCCTACAAGACTTCAGTAGGGCGATTAGAACACTATACGTGATTCACGACACCAAAACACTATTGTAAACAAACCACGGAACTGGTGGATTCCAACCCCACTCGTTCCGTGTTTTTTGTTTATACCTTACAATATTTCACTGATGGTAAGGAAGGGAGAATTATGGAAAGAGAAGACGAAGCCAGCACCAAGAAGAGAATAAGCAATTGTTTTGTTTTTATTACAGGAGGTGATGGCAAGAGACTTGAGATAAGAGGGCAACTCCCACACTCGCATTCCCTCCACCATATCGTCCTCCTACACTCCTTGCCCTCCTTGGTAAGCTTATACGTGTGCATATATATGTGTGTGTGTGTGTGTGTGTGTGTGTGTGTGTGTGTGTGTGTGTGTGTGTGTGTATACTCACCTACGCAGTTATACTCGCAAAGTTGTGGTTGCAGGTGTGTGTGTGTGTACTCACCTATTTGTACTCACTTATTTGTGGTTGCAGGGTCGATTCAAGCTCTGGCCGTTCGCTGATTGCTACTAGGTCTCTCTCTCCCTGCCATGGCTTTATATACTCAGCCTTAAAACTATGTTGGTTCGCTCCAGTAGGTCATTCTAGGCTTCCCGGCCTGACAACTCTATGACTAAATACTTCCTAAATCCCTTTGATTCATCTGAGTCTTAACTTCCATTGTGCCCCTTGTCTTCTGGCCTTCTCTGAACATCCCTCTTTTGTCCACCTGGTCTATTCCGCCCCAGTATTTTAGGTCGTTATCATGTCTCCCCTGACCTCACTGTCTCCATGTGTCAAGAAATCTTCCTAACCTTTCTTGTGGATCATCCCGTAGTCTTGGACTATCATTGTTGACAAACCTTGCCTTTCTCTAATTTCTTGACGTGCTTGACTAGGTGTGGATTCCAAACTGGTGCTGCATACTCCAGTATGGGCCTGACGTAAATGGTATACAGAGTCTTGAACGAATCCTTACTGAGGTATCGGAACGCTATCCGTAGTTTTGCCAGGCGCCCGTATGCTGCAGCAGTTATCTGATTGATGTGCGCCTCAGGAGATATGCTCGGTGTTATACTCACCCCCAGATCTTTTTCCTTGAGTGAGGTTTGCAGTCTTTGGCCATCTAAACTATATTGTGTCTGCGGTCTTCTTTGCCCTTCCCCAATCTTCATGACTTTGCATTTGGCAGGGTTAAACTCAAGGAGCCAGTTGCTGGACCAGGCTTGTAGCCTGTCCAGGTCTCTTTGTAGTCCTGCCTGATCCTCATCCGATTTGATTCTTCTCATTAACTTCATATCATCTGCAAACAAGGACACTTCTGAGCCTATCCCTTCCGTTATGTCGTCCACATATACCAAGAACAGCACAGGTCCTAGGACTGACCCCTGTGGAACCCCGCTTGTCACAGGCGCCCACTCTGACACCTCGTCACGTACCATGACTCGTTGTTGTCTCCCTGTCAGGTATTCTCTGATCCACTGCAGTGCCTTTCCTGTTATGTGTGCCTGATCCTCTAGCTTTTGCAGTAACCTCTTGTGAGGAACTGTGTCGAAGGCCTTCTTGCAGTCCAAAAAAATGCAGTCGATCACCCCTCTCTCTCTTGTCTTACTTCTGTCACCTTGTCATAAAACTCTAGTAGGTTTGTGACACAGGATTTTCCTTCCCGGAAACCGTGCTGGTTGTCAGTTATTCACTTGTTTCTTTCCAGGTGCTCCACCACTCTCCTCCTGATGATTCTCCATGACCTTGCATACTATGCACGTTAGTGATACAGGTCTGTAGTTTAGTGCCTCATGTCTGTCTCCCTTTTTAAAAATTGGGACTGCATTTTCCATCTTCCATACCTCAGGGAGTTGCCCAGTTTCAAATGATGTGTTGAAGATCTTTGCTAATGGCACACACAGTATCACTGCTCCCTCTTTAAGAACCCACGGAGAGATGTTGTCTGGTCCCACCGCCTTTGAGGTGTCAAGTTCGCATAGCAGCTTCTTCACCTCCTCCTTAGTTATATGTACCTCATCCAGCACTTGCTGATGTACCCCTCTGTTTTGATTACCTGGAGTCCTACTGGTTTCCACTGTAAATACTTCTTTAAATCTCGTGTTGAGCTCCTGACATACCTCTCGGTCGTTTCTTGTGAACTCCCCATCACCCTTCCTCAGTCTGATTACCTGGTCCTTGACTGTTGTTTTCCTCCTGATGTGGCTGTACAACAGCTTCGGGTCAGTGTTGACTTTCGATGCTATGTCATTTTCATATTGTCGCTGAGCCTCCCTTCTTATCTGTGCATATTCGTTTCTGGCTCTTCGGCTAATCTCTTTATTTTCCTGAGTTCTCTGTCTTCTGTACCTTTTCCATTCTCTAGTACACCTAGTTTTTGCCTCCCTACACCTTTGGGTGAACCAAGGACTCATTCTGTTCTTCCCATTATTTCTGTTTCCCTTGGGAACAAACCTCTCCTCTGCCTCCTTGCATTTTGTTGCCACATAGTCCATCATTTCTTGTACTGGTTTTCCCATCAGTTTCCTCTCCCACTGAATGTCTTGAAGGAAGTTCCTCATGCCTGAGTGGTTCCCTATTTTGTAGTTTGGTTTTCCCACCCTATTCCTGCTACTCTCTCCACTTGGAGCTCAACTATGTAGTTGAAGCACAGAACCACATGATCACTAGCTCCCAGGGGGTTTTCATACATGATATCCTGGATGTCCGAACTACTCAAGGTGAATACGAGGTCCAGTCTTGCTGGTTCATCCTCTCCTCTCTCTCTGGTAGTGTCTCTAACATGTTGATGCATGAGGTTTTCCAGTACTACATCCATCATCTTGGTTTTCCCAGTGAATCTCCTTGTGATTGAAATCACCCATAACTAGTAACTTTGCTCCTCCCATGTGTACTCTCCTGGCTACCTCGGCTAGTGTGTCGACCATTGCTCTGTTGCTCTCGTCGTATTCTTCTCTTGGCCTCCTGCAGTTCTGTGGTGGGTTGTACATTACTGCAATTATCACCTTATGTCCCTTAAACTGGATTGTTCCTACTAAGAAGTCCCTTTCGCCCATGCCATCCATTCCTTCCATTTTCTCAACCCCCCACTGGTTTTTAATGAGCAGTGCAACTCCTCCTCCCCCTCTCCTCCCTCTGTCTTTCCTGAGGATTTGATATCCGGATGGAAAGATTGAATCTGTTATTATTCTGGTGAGTTTTGTTTCTGTGAGTGCTATTATGTCTGGGGATGTCTCCTTGATTCTTTCATGCCACTCTTCATACTTATTTGTTATTCCATCTGCATTTGTATACCACACCTTCAACTTCTTTTCTAAGACTGTGGTCTGGGAGGTATATTGGGGTTGGGGAAGTGGGAGACCTGATAAGGAACTATGGGTGGTTGCTGTGGGGGTGGAGTTTGTAATGCAGTGGGTGGGGGCATTGGATGTGGCATGGGTGTTTTGGTTTAGAGTGTTTGGTTGCACTGGGGTTGACCTGATTGGGAGGCTTCTATGGGAAGTTGTGAGGGAGGCTGTATCTGATCTTCTTCCTGGGTCTGGGATCTCCTGTCTGTCCTCTCCATCCCCTCTCTTTCCTCCTTTCGTGTGTGTGTGTGTGTGTGTGTGTGTGTGTGTGTGTGTGTGTGTGTGTGTGTGTGTGTGAGTGTGAGGAATAAGATCACAGTAAACAAGTGATATCACAATATGCAAAATAACCACTATGAAAAAAATTGTGAATTCAAGCGCATTCGTGAGTTCTCACATTATCAAGAAACAGAATAAGTAATTCTGTAGTTTAACGAAATATTGTGGAATCATCATCTTTGTGCATGATGCACATGTTTCAAATTTGAGTTCTAGAATCTATAACTCTGACAATTTTATAGTCCAGAATATTGTTCATAATCTTTGTCAAACGAACAATTTATCTTTAGTCTGGACAAATGTTTGTATGCGGGTGGTGAGAATGTGGAGCAGTAGGCTTCCTACAGTGTATTGTAAGATAGGGGTCACCTTACCGGGTGAGTCGTCACCTGTTGTGAGTGACGTTTCACCTCAGTGCATAATGTGTTTGCTACTCTTGCCTCTCATTTCAGTGCCTCAGAAGGCGTCTTGCCCCGTGGCCTGATCACTAAAACTCTCGCTTAACACTGAGAGGGTCTGCGTTCGTTTCCCGGCGAGGGTTGAAACATTGGGCGTGTTTCTTTACACCGGTTGTCTATGTTCATCCATCAGTAAAATGGGTACCTGGGTGTTAGTCGACTGGTGTGGGTCGGATCCTGGGACAAAACTGACCTAATTTACCCGAAATGTTCTGCATAACAAGGGGCTTTCTTTATAGTAGTATGTCATTGATGTCAGCTTGGACTGTATACCTTGTACATGTAGTAAATAAAGATATATATATATATATGTGTGTGTGTGTGTGTGTGTGTGTGAGTACTCACGAAACTTCTTGGAATTTCACTATTCTTTTACAGTGGTTGTTTTGCATATTCTGAAATCACCTGTTTACTGTGATCTTATTGCGCATATATATATATATATATATATATATATATATAGGTATATAGGTAGTAGGTTGGTAGACAGCAACCGCCCAGGGAGGTACTACCGTCCTGCCAAGTGAGTGTAAAACGAAAGCCTGTAATTGTTTTACATGATGGTAGGATTGCTGGTGTCCTTTTTTCTGTCTCACGAACATGCAAGATTTCAGGTACGTCTTGCTACTTCTACTTACACTTAGGTCACACTACACATACATGTACAAGCACATATATACACACCCCTCTGGGTTTTCTTCTATTTTCTTTCTAGTTCTATTCTTGTTTATTTCCTCTTATCTCCATGGGGAAGTGGAACAGAATTCTTCCTCCGTAAGCATGCGTGTTGTAAGAGGCGACTAAAATGCCGGGAGCAAGGGGGTAGTAAACCTCTTCTCCTGTATATATTACTAAATGTAAAAGGAGAAACTTTCGTTTTTCCTTTTGGGCCACCCCGCCTCGGTGGGATACGGCCGGTGTGTTGAAAGAAAGAAAGATATATATATATATATATATATATAATATATATATATATATTATATATATATATATATATATATATATAATATTAACAAGTCGGCCGTCTCCCACCGAGGCAGAGTGATCCAGAAAAAGAAAGAAAATCCCCAAAAAGAAAATACTTTAATCAATCAACACTTTCACCTCACTCACACATAATCACTGTTTTTGCAGAGGTGCTCAGAACACAACAGTTTAGAAGCATATACGTATAAAGATACACAACATATCCCTTCAAACTGCTAATATCCCAAACTCCTCCTTTAGAGTGCAGCC